TTCTGGCTGGCTTTAGGTTTCTTTGATGTTTCTACCAAACCAGACGCTGCCAGCTGCTTACCAGTTCTGCTTGGCACTGTGTTGACTCTAACCTCTTATTCTTGTTTTTTATTCTTGCACACATACAATTTTGTTGTGACCAACATAGAGCAGAAGGCAGAGTTCACTTGTTTGCTCATGTTACTATAACCATCTCTGTGAATAGCAAAGGTAAAAAATAAATAAATAAACAAACGCATTAATAAATAATTCACTCGCTGGCTGACAGTTTCTAACTGAGTTTGGTGTGCAGCCACAGGAAGATGCTGCACCACACCAGGAAGAGGCTGGCATCCTCTGAACTTGTATCAGTAACTGTAGCTGGGCCTATTTGAGGAGAAGAGGGACTTCCCCAGGCAGACAGCAAAAGCAAACATTGTCCTGTTGTTTGGTAGAATCAAGCCAATCAGTACAAGCAGAGCAGGCAGACAATAAACACAAAGAAATGATTGTCTGGATGTAGAACCATTAGGGGGAGGGACACAATATGGCCTATGATATTTACATGATACTGATAATACTGATGCATGTGACAGTTTCAGATTGTGTCTGACAAATCATGTCACATCATATACATAAATCTACTCATTAGATATGAACGCTAGGTTAGCCTTTTTATAGGCTGTGCTGGTGAGGCACTGTGAAGCCAAAGGGCCCAGTTGTATGGGTATAGTTACCTGTAATGTTAGCTGTTGCAAATTATATTATTTACACAGATCTGGACCTAATGGAACACATGTGTGCCGACATTCTTCCCAGATTATTTGAAAGGCCTGCACATAGACTCCACCAATGAGAAGAATGCAAAACCCTAGACTTGCTTATGTGTAGATCCTATCACTCATCTACGGTGTAGGATACTTACAACATATGCACACACACACACACACACACTCATGCAGTATATATACACAGACAGTGGCCCACATTGTATCTACAGTATGCACTCAACAATGCATGTACAATGACATCAGATGATCCATAATACAACACATTGCTCTCATTCCACATAGCAGTTCAGTCCCAACAGACTTCAGTTCTGCTCCCTTTGCTGCTGCTGTATTTGATATTTTAATTGATAAAACACATTGTCCTGTCATGTCTGTTGCCTAAACATTTCACATAATATCAGTGTAATTTCCAGCCGCGGTGGTCTAACAGTCAATAACAGACTATGAATCACTTTTTCAGTGGTTTTTAAAGACTTCAGTCTGAGACAAAACCAACTGCAGTGTGCAGTGTTTGTTTGCACACTGCATTGTGATGAATCATTTTCCTTCAAAATTTTTTCAGTCTCATTTAATTTGACAGCAGATGATAGAGGTATTATTTACACACCGTTTTACTGTTATTCTCACACTTTTAATCTTTCACACAAATGCTGAATTTCAAGTTCAGTTCGGAGGGGTGTATGTGATACCATGAGTATTGTATAATAATAAATACTCAGGCTTTTAGAGTTCTCAGCTTTATTAAAAACAAATGTACTCTGTAGGGTGCTTGGGAAGGATTCAGTGACATCTTCTGATGTTAATTTATCATGTTCATTTATCTCTATGACCATCTGTGAGTTCTAGCCTCTGCACCTTGAAAACACAGACAGTGTTGTTTATTCCAAAAGGAACGATGAACTTAAAATATACCAGTATACTAGAAATTTTAATACATAATAGCAAAGGAACACACATTAATATACAGCTCAAAGTCTAGGTACAGGGGTGTGTTTAGTCTGTTGTGAACTAAGTACTTGTGTAATATAATGAATCAATACATAGCATTGATTACTATAGGCTGGAAGCTACTGACCTGAAAAACATATTGATGACTGTTGTACAGACCCATGTAGTGGTTTGTAGTAACTGTTTCTACATTAATGTTTACTTCCAAATAGATTATACATCAGTTTTGCTCTATTTATTGTATATGTATGTCCTTTTGTTTATTCCAAGTATCTACAGTGAGAGTCACACATATGTGCGTCTGTGTGTAAAAGAGATGTCAACTAAGACAGAAGCATCTCGACTACAACCAGGACATGAACCCAGGGGCTACCTGCCTCAGGCTACAACTGACACTCAAAGTACAAATCACACTTTTGGGAATATCCAGCCAACACTAGCGTTTGTGCTGAGCCTATTTATAGCTGACCGCAGCTTTTCCAGTGAGTCTCATTCCATTGCTAGTGTAAACATGTGCATTTGTATGTATGTGCATACATGCTTAACCTTCTGCTCCTGGTGGGAACGGCTCATTATACAATAATCATTATTCAAACGTAATTATTATACTCCTATTATGTCTCCTATTTTCTCTTGTGCGTTTTCGTTGGCTCGCCCTCGCTCCTCGGTGTAGCTCCATTTTTCCTCTTGCTACCTTATTCTCCAGTACTTTTTGTTGTTCCACTACTCAACACAGATCAGAATTTACATAAACTGGAGATTCTCCACCTGAACCTC